ACTTCGGTGCTTTGATCATGATACTCCCACCAAAATGCAACTTGGATTTGTTATGCGGCGGGCGATAAAAAAATGAAGATAATAATATTTTTTTTTTAGTAATTGTTTGCACTTACAATATGGCGGGCGCGAGAAATTACATTGACATAAAATTTTATTTTTATTTAATTTTCGGCTCCTGTTCATTCGGTGGGTTCGCGAAACAAAGGATAATAAAAGTCTGGCCTAATAAATATGATTTCATTTGATAAAAATAATCATTTTCCTGGATAGAAACAAAAGTATTTCATAAAGTCGAAAATGGAAACTCTTTATCGCTGTGTTTTGTGTGGGTCGTTCATGCTATAGTATAACTTGGTTTCCAGCTATCAACTGCCTGAACGGTAAGACCTACAACTCATGCGGTACGTGTGCGCTCACGTGTGGCAAAGAAACGGAGTGCGTAAACTCCGAGTGCATAGAAGGCTGCTTCTGTCCAGATGGTATGTACGAAGACGGTGACCAGTGTGTGGATATCCTTGACTGCGGTTGTGAAGATGAAAATGGATTTTACCATTCGGTACGTGTAATATGTATTTTTTTCATCATTTGCTGTAAAGCAGAGGGCTCATCATCTGAGCATGCGCACCTAAGCGATGATGACAACGCACGCTTGAAAGTCGCAAAGGCTTATGGGTAGATGCTTGTTTGTGAACCCCGACGCGCTATGGTCGGCTGCCTCACTGTCATGTGCAGGTAACGACTCCCCCGCTTTGAACATCAATAAATATCAGGGTGCCAATACAGGATGTCTGCTAGGAATACGATTTTATGAATCGCACCCTGACCTTGCACGCAATGTTAAAGCGGCAGGGTCGTCACCTGCGCACGCGCGGAATTTAGTCCAAAGCAACGATAACAACACACGCTAAAACGCAAAGGCTCATAGGTAGACGCTTGTTTGTAAACAATGACACGCTATGGTCATCTAACGTATGCGCAGGTGACGACTCCCCCGCTTTAATAAAGTTAAAGATATATGAGCGATAAACTCGGGTGATTCATAACCGATCATCTTCAAACTTGGGATATCATAAAATATTGCCCAGATTGTTCCTGGTTGGCTACCGAGCCATAAAACCTAACAGTCAGACCAATCAGAAAGCAGCTTGTTTGCCTTTTTTCGATCTATCAAATTCTGCATTGTCTATATGCTTCGACTCAATTGCTAATACGTCATCTGTTTACAGGTTGGGGGCGTTATTGGTCAACCAAACTGCGAGAGTGAATGTATCTGTGAGCTAGGGGGTATCATTCGGTGCTACCCAATAGTTTGTCACGAGGATGCCTTCTGTGACCTTTACGAAGGTGTACAAGGATGCCATTGCAACGTTGGTTACCAAGGAACTGGGCAAGTGTGTGAAGGTAATATTCATTTGCTTATTGGTTTACATGTATCACGTGATACACTGACGTATCGGAACTACCTAAGCTGGGGAAGATAACAACGAGGGCAACAATGTTGTCGTATTCACAGTTGCGATTTTTTTTTCAAAACTGAATAATTAATGAATTTCAAAATAATTTACAATAAAATCCTGAAAGGTTTGAAATTCATAAATTGGCTAGTAATATGCTAATGAACTAAGTGTGATAATTACCAATATGTAAATATGTCTGTAAACAGACGCGAACTTGACTGCGCAACTCAAATATTTCTACAAAGGCGGCTCAAAATACCGCGTAATGAAACAATTCGCAAGCCGAATCGTATACGATTATTGACGATCAGTATGAGAAAATACGCGGAAAGATTCCACTATACCAGTAGTTTAGTTAGAACCACGTTCTGTATATGCAGAGTTTATCCCCCAGAACATTAAAACGCAGAACAATACAACTTAATTAACACGACAGTTCATAGACGCGATGAACATATTTTGTTGTTAATAATTTTAGATATCGACGAATGCACGGACGGTACCAACAATTGCGCCGCCGATGCAGACTGTACAAATACCATTGGTAGTTTCACCTGTGAATGCAAGCATGGTTTCCGAGGTGACGGCTACGTCTGCGATGACATCAACGAGTGCTTGGACGGTTTACATAACTGTGACAACAATGCAGATTGTGTCAACACCAAAGGCAGTTTTAGTTGTGTATGTCACCTTGGTTATAGCGGCCCTGGGACATCGTGCGAAGGTAAGTTGTCAAAGATAAATACTATTGGATAATTGCGTCACATGTACCACAGTCAATCAGTGGTGTCTGCCAGTGTACCTGTCATAATAGTTCGATCACGCCCTCTATCGACGAAGAGTTTGTGTTTTTAATTGGATAGTCTTCCTTCAATAAAACATGGTTGGAACAGTGGACACGACGACAGAAGAGAAGTATTCGAGAAGGCAAATACGAGTCTCGTTTCGGCTTCCACGAAATATCGGCGGCTATTTGCGTCCAAGGATTTTTAAAACTAGTAAAACGCAATATTTGATGGTTTGAATTTGTGTGAATCGCGAAAAATAATGTGATCGTTCAGATCCTAGATTTTGAGTTTGTATTTCACGCCGTGTGGATTTGCAGTAATTCGCTCTGTTAAATTGGTGGTGTTAAATTCATATCAGGTTTTTACCTGATGTCGCTACGCAAAATAAACAATTTGGTTTTCATCTGATGTTGCCAGCAAAATTGACAATTTCTACTAGTGCGTTTCAAGTACGCTTAACATCGATCACGTTGGGCGGGCTACTGGCTCGTTCGCGACTCGCATTATCAACGACGAATGTTGATCATATTTGTACAAGGCGACTACACATTACCGGGAATTTGCGGTCTTATACGTTAAAGGTTTACCTGCAAACACTCCATACGTGTTATGTTAAATCGACACTTAGTAAAATATTTTTTTAATAAAATCTAACGAACAAAGAAAACCTAACAAGCGGATAAATGTGAAGTACCCCAACAACACACAGACACCAGTATTTAGATGAGATACCCCCTGGGCGTATGCCCGGAGATGACCTCAATTTCTTTATTATATCAAAATTGAGGGGTGGGCGTTTGCCCGGGCATGGGCTCTTACCCGGATAAATACGATATAAGAAATTGTCAGAAAAGTTCTGATATTAACATCTAGGCTATGCTTATCATCAAAATGTTCTTGCCAAGGTTACAGAAACAGTATTTTGAACCAGGATGTATCATACTGAAATGACGCGTTGTTTGGTTGTTGGTATGTGTGAGGGATTATATACACTATTTTATTCTGTTGTATATTGCAGACATTGATGAGTGTGCCGAAGGCACGTCTAGCTGTCATTCTATCAGTACAGAATGTCAAAACACAATTGGTTCCTTCATATGTATCTGTCATGAAGGGTATGCATTCCTCAACCAGTTCCGATGCACAGGTATGTTCATTCATCCATCCATCCATCCATCCATCCACTCAATACCTTTCCACTGCTTCATTTCACATTTTGCTATTTTCTTTATCATCAACGCTATATTAGGAACGCTTCTTAAATGTAAAATATATGCGAACATCTTCCCCAACTATTGCATGTATAAAGAAGGTGTTGGTTCCGTATGTTACGTTGAGGGTTGTCTGTAGCATGGAACACAGTGTGTGTAACTAGAAGATTTAGCAGTGAATTGACTTGGCACTGTTAGTTCTGTGGTATTAACATGATTGACTTTGTCAGTAAAATAGTATAATGATGCCATTATTCAATGTTCAAATCTGAATAATGATATGCAATAATATATTTTTATTTATCTAGATGTGAACGAATGCGAGGCAGGAACAGATAATTGCCTTTTGGACGGAACTGCCAAATGTAAAAATTTGGTTGGGTCATTCAAATGTCTGTGCCTCAAAGGATACATTGGAGATGGTGTCACTTCGTGCGTCGGTAAGATAACATCCATCAGTCCGATGGGGATAGTTTATTTTAATTTAATGGGGTCGTGGGACTGACACACAGACCCCGGGATTTGTTCTATTTGGGGGGGGGGAGGGCATGGTAAAACGTCATTTGGTACTTTTTAAATACACCGATGACAAAACAAGACAAGGGAACAACAATACATTCGATCTTGGCGTTCAGTATAACAGAACACCAACACAAGAATTAAAAGCGTAATACGGCCTGTCAACGGTCGCGAATTTAAGTGAAATACTGTGTATGTGTTATACAATAGGCTATACACAGAACAGAAATTTAGAAACACAAACCGAATTTTACGGGGAGATTTATAGATGGGTTAAGCAGCGGTCACAAACGACCTATAATTACCGTGCATTAGTTTGAATGTTAAATGCCAAGGCCCCTTAGCCTAATATTAT